CGTCCCCGAACACACGGCGTCCCCGCCTCAGGGACGCTCGCGCGGGGCCCAGGTGCGAGTCAGGGTTGACGGAACACGGCGTCCACGCAGGCCCGCACTCACCCCGCCGGTTCTTCCTTCCCTCCCGGGCGGGTCTTGACTGAGCTGCTGCGCGGTGCGAGGGCGCCGGCGCGCGCACGGGGCGCAGGGGGCTCGGCCGGGCTCGGAGCGGTCCCGAGCGGGAGTGCTGTGCAGCGGCCTGGAGGGGAGGGCCGGAGCTGGGGAGCAGTTCCGGGAGGATCAGCGGCCCGCGGAGGGGCGAGCCAGAGGGGCAAGCCCGGGCCTTTGATGCCCGGCTCCCGCAGGGCCCGCAGTGGGAGGTAGCCCTTCCCAGCCCGGCTGGACCCTCGGCAGGGTGGGGAGGAGGGAGTGACGGGATGCTTAGCCGGGGCGGCCGCAGCACCCCTCCCTCAGCCTTGGGGCGGCAGTGCCACCCCACTTCGCCGCCACCATGGTGCTCAGAGGGGGCAACTTCCCCCGAAACAGAATCTCATTTTGAAAAAAAGACTGCTTAAATGTGTTCCTTTATTCTAAAACTGTTTTCTTCGTAATTCCCCAATCTTACACCAGTACAGATTTGGCACGACAGTCTGCAGAGTGGAAGCCCCACTTGGGGTTGAAATGGTCCAGGGGCCTTCAGGGCGAGGGCGCTGGAGTCTGCACAGGGCTCTTGTGATTTCGCTGGTGAACGGGCTTATCCTTAAGCTCTGCCACCCTGGGCCCGAGGGGAGGGTCGGCAGGGCAGCTGTGAGGCAGACAGGCCCCAGAGTGTGCTGGGGTCAGGCGTGGGGGGCTTGGATCTCTAAGGAAGGGGTGGCATCAGCTGTCCCCACTTGGCTGTGGAGGGTCTGGGTCAGGGAGGCCCGTGGCCTCCTCCCTTTCATGTTCCCAGTCCCCCACCGTGGGGGATGCCAGGGTATCCCCTCTGCACAGCGCCAAGGGGTGACAGGATTGTCATGGCTGCCTTGGACACCAGGCCTGAAGTACTCGGGGCCAGCCGGGAGGTAGTTGGAGCAGAGGGGGAGGGCATGAGTCGCACAGGGGTCCTGAGACCCGCTGGGCAGCATCCAGTTCAGGGGCTGCTCTGGGCCTGAGGCGGCAGTGACTGAGGAGTAACTCCAGGGCCCAGCTCAGGTAAATAAGCGCAGCAGGTGGTGTCCGTCTGGCACAGGACACTTGGTGCTCTTCCAGCACAGCAGCCCTGAGGCCGGAGCCTTCCTAGCCGCCGGCACTTGCAGGGTCTGGAGATCCTGGACCTGGCTGGAGCCCAAGGAGGCGCTAGTGGGGCCAGGAGCACTTCTCCGGGACAGACTCTGGGGGTTCCAGGCACTTCCCTAACTTTTCACAGCCGGGGGGTGCCCAGTTCTGGGTAATGAAAATCCAGAGAGAACAGTTATTCCAGGCATCTGTGGACTCAGCAGTTTGCAGACTACCGCCCTGCCCAGGCCTGTGACCTGCCAGACCAGGATGGCGCAGCCACAGCGTGGAAACCACCTCTGTCTCCACCTCGCCCGGAGGCCGCTCAGCGCAACGCCTGAGGCCGGCACAGGAGCCGCCTGGCTCTGCACCAGCCCCGCACAGCCTCCCACCGACAGGGCTTGCCGGTCACCCAGCTGAGTCTTGGGGGAGGGGAGGAGCCGGGTTCCAGGGGGTCTGGCCAGACTTCCCATGGAAAGCTTTGCAGGTGTCGGCCTCAGCGCCCCAGGGAGAACTGACCTGCTCCAGTGTGGCTGTTTTCCTGGCAACAGAACTGGGCACTTGTGCCCCTAAGAGGGAGCCTTCCTGGTTCTGCTGTGTCCCCACCCAGGAGGTGCCGAAATCACCCTGGGGGGCACTTGCCCACCCCACCAGACCCTCAGAATCTGTGTGTTACTGAATTGGGGCATCAGAGCCAGTGAGAGCCATGGGCGAAGCCCCCACCCCCACCCCCGGGGGCAGCAGGTGGCCCTGTGGTCACGCAGGCCAGGTTCAGGTAAGGAAGCAGTTCCCAACCTTTGAGGCAGAGCAGAGGAAGAGGCCGGGAGCACGCAGAATGAAGATTCTGGGCCCAGCCTGTGAGTCTGGGGGTTGGGGAGGGTTTCTGATGCAGCTCTGGGGCCTGCTCTTGTCCCTGAGAGCAGAGGACACCACGCAGAGTCCTCACCCACTGGCCTGGGTTGTGTATGGAGGAGCCCTGGCAGGGCGTGGGGACTAGGGAGGGCTTTGCACATCCACATGTGTCCACACACGGGGAAGGCCTTGCACCTCTCTGGTGGCGGTGCTCGCTTCAGAGCCTGGAGGTCAGCCTGCCCTGGTCCGGGGCGTTTGGCTCACTTGGTGGGGAAGGGGGTCCCCACTTTCACATGTTCCAGGGGTGGCCTGGCTGCCACAGTTCCTGCTGTGGCCAGGAGGTGGTGGCAGTGCCTGTCCAGGTCCATCACTCCTCCTCACCCCTCAGGTCACTAGGACCCCCTTGGTCTCTGAGTTACCTGGAGACTCAGCCCACAGAGCAGGCGCCAGGCGGGTCTGGAGAGCTGGGTGTGGGGGGAGAAGGGCCGATGGGCTAGAAGCCGGGCTAAGCCACCGGCTTTGCTCTGCGGGTTTTGGGGTCCTGCTGGAGCTTCTGCCTTGGGGACATGAGATCACCCATCTCTGTGGAGCAGGGGACTATACAGACCCCAGCTAAGGGACAGACTTGTGGACGGGCTCCTCACGTATCAAAGAGGTCTGTCGGGGCTGGGACCCGCGTCAGCCGTGCTGGGAGATGGCCCATGGGCTGGCTGCACACCAGGCCATCCACTCAGCGTGTCCACACCCTACTTCCCACACGGGTTTGGCCTGTCCTGCACCTGCAGAAGGGCCAAGTGCTCCCCTCACCACTGCGGTGAGGACTGAGACAGGCAGGAAGTGGGGATCCAGCCTGCAGCTCCAGCAGCCTTAGGAAGCACGCTCCCTGCTGGGGTCCCGCCATGCTGCCCAGAGGTCCCCCTGCCTGTGACGGGAAGGCTGCACTTCCACGAGGCATTTGGCTGCCAGAACTCAGTGCGGCCCCCGACAGCTCCTGGTTGAGAGCAGAAGCAACCGCACTCACCCGGCCCTGGGATGCCCCCCCCACCACATGTAAACCACTTACCATGACCGCCTGGTTGCACACGTTGAGCTGGGGCTGTCCGGGGACCAAGGTTTCCTGGTGCTGCCGGACGACGGAGGTGATTCTGTGAAGGGCGTCCAGGTACTCGGTGCTGGCAACGCTGCAGGCAAGGGCACCGGGTCACCCAGGTGGAGGGAGGAACAGCGAGTGGGGCAGCCCACCCAGGGAGGCTAGGGGTCGGGGGCGCTGGGGGGGGGCCAGCGCCGGGCCTGCGGGGAGCCCACTCCAGCAGCCTCCCGGCAGGAGACAGCTACAGCAGCCGGCCGGGGCTACAGCCCACCTGCCTGCCTGCCCGGCCCAGAGGGAGGCGTGCACCCTGGGAACTGCCCAGTGAACGAGGGTTCAGGCAGAGCCTTGTGACAAGGGACACTAGCTGCAACCCTGCAGCCGCCCTTCAGCCACTCCAGCAGGGGCGTTGTCACGGGCTCCCCAAGCTGCACAGGCCTCTGCGGGCCCTGGGCTCTGTCCTCACTCTTGGTCCCTTGTAGTCCCCGTGGCCTAGTTTTGTTTCCCCAGAGTGGCTGGTCCTGCCCATGTCTCTAACGCTCCTGAGACCGTGTGGCTCCCGGGCCCCCCACCCCCTGCTCCGTTGGTGGCAACCACCCCACATTCAACCTACATGCTTTTTACAACCAGGTCTCCAGCCTGTTTCGTGTCTCTCCAGGATTCTGTGCAACACCATGGGTGGAAGGGTTTCTCCGTGTGAGTGCCTGCAGGACGCTCGGGAGGCCCGGCACTCATCTGAGCCTTTCAGGGCCAGGCGGCGGCTCCAGGGTTATTTTGCCCAGAGCCCTGTGTCCTCCTAGAGTGACCTCGGGCAAGTTGTATGGTCTCCCCATGGTACGTGGGGCCACAGGCTTCGGGGGAGCAGGGGTGTGTCAGGAGCCTCTTGGGCAGGGCCCTTTCCTTAGGGCAGGGCAGTGCCCCCCAACGGTGAGGGTGGGGGTCTACTGGGAGCACACTGGTAGGTGTGTTCCCATGTCCTGGCCACAGCCCTGAGAGACAGACCCCAGGGCCGTGAACTTCGGAGGGGGCTGAGGCGGGGCGTGGCTTTGGGCCAGGCTCCCGCTTGCTGCTGCCACCTTCCAGGGGGCACTTGTGTCTGGGAGCCACCTCGGTGTGTCTGCCATCAGCAGCGGGGCTCAGACGACTCTCCTTATCTCCTCCCCCAGGTACTCCTTGTCTGTGAGATGGGAGAAAGGCTTTGGGGGCTGCCGGGGCTGGGACTGTGCCTCCACCATGGCCTGGCTGGACAAAAGTCAGGGGCAGCCAACAGGTGTTGCTGGGACGCGAGAGGGAGAGGACATCCGCGTGGCTGTGAAACTACGCTGGGCTGGAGCTGGCTGGGGAGCGGGACCACTGCTTGCAGCCTGCTCCAGGTGGTCCTGCTGGGCCTCGGCTCCAAAGTGACTTCCAGGCGGGCGGGACTCACAGGCTGCGTCTCCCCTGGACTCAGTCTGGTTCTAACCCCCAGCCCTAGCCCTGGGCTCAGACCTCCCAGACTTGTGGTGACCACAGGTGCTCCCAGCTCCCGCCTGAGTGCGTGTCCTGGGGCCCTGGCAACAGATGGCCACAGGCTGGGGGAGGGGCTCGAGCAGCAGGAATTCATCCTCGTCCTGGAGTCTAGAGTCTGAAATCAGGGGTCACAGGGCCGCACCCCGCCTCCCGAGCCTCTACGGAGGGCCCTTCCTGCCCCTCCAGCTCTGGGGGGGCTCCGGGTGTCCCTGGGGTTTTGTGGCCACATCACTCCGACCTCTACCTCTGTCCTCAGACGGCCTCTCCCTTGCATCTGTGTCTCAAATATAAGGACACAAGTCATTGGCTTCAGGGCCACCCTGACCTAAGTTCAGACCTCACCTAAACCGATAACCTCTGCAGTCCCTGGGTCAAGTAAGGCCACACTGCAAGGTCCTGGCAGACAGATGTGGGGGACACTATTTCATCCATGGTACCATCTGAGTCTCCTACCCACAGACCCAGGCCTGAGCTGGACAAAGCCCCAGCAGGGAGGTGCCACTGAGGAAGGAAGTCCCCCGAGTGCCCCAGTGTCAGCAGAGGCCCCTGGGAGCCTCGCCGGGATGTGCTGCCCCATCCCAGGCAAAGGAGCCCCACGGGCACCCAGGCTGGTGTCACTGCCTCCATGGGTGTGGGGGGCAATGGGGAGAGGTCCTCGTCCAGCCCGCTCCTGGACCCTTACCCTCCCCTCAGCCATCGCTGGAGGCCGTGCAAGAAGGGGGCATGAGGCCCGGTGGGGTGGGCTGGGGCGGGGCGGGCAGGGTGGGTGCAGCGTGCCCCATTCTCACCTGAGGGGGTACCTCTCCCCTGGGTCTCGTCCCAGATGGAAGATCAGGGGCAGCTTCGTGTGCTCTTCCTGCGTGTGGGTGGTGACCCCTGAGATGTTCTGTCCGGGGCAGAAGTCAACGCCCTGAAATGAGAGGTGGGGAGGGCAGCTGAGCTGGCCCGGAGGCTGCCACTGGGGCTCCCCGACTTGGCTCAGGGAAAGGCCTGCTGCCGTCCAGGGGCAGTCGGCCGAAGCCAGGCACTGCCATCCAGATGCACTGGGCACCAGCCTCCAGCCGACGTGGGACACTGTTTACAGGGTCTGGAGAGGTGCCATGACCATGCACATGAACCCTAAAACGAGGCTGGAGACAGACGAATGCCGCTTGCTTCTCCCGCGGGCACCAGTGCAGTGCGATGGGCGGTCACCCAACACCCGTGTGTCTGGAGAATAGCCAGTCAGTAAAGCAGGGAAGTTGGGAGCCCCTGAAATCCCATTTGTCTGCGCTGAACTGCAGACTCCCGAGACAGCGGCTGGGATCTGGGCTGTTGAGGGCGGCCAAGATCAGACCCACAGGTGGGCCCTAAGTGGGTGATCCTCTGACCTTCCGGGAGCAGACAAAAGTGGATTCAGTGGTGGCAGAAACAATCACATTTGACATGAGAAAGCGGAGCAGTCAATGGAGAGGAATCCAAGTCCACACGGAAGACACAAATTATAATTTGGATGCAAATCAAATAAACTATTTAATTAAGATCCCGCTAATTAGCACAAGGCTCTTCTCTTACGGCTGGTGTCTGGGGAGGGAGGCCTTTCCCTGGGGGCATCGCAGCTGAGCAGACAGAGGGGCGCGGGGAGCCCTGCCCAGACCCGGTCATAGTGACCACAGCGTTGGCTCTCGAGGGGGGAAGGAGGGAGGGCAAGCCTGCTAGGCGCTCCTGGGATTTAGTCCAGAAGTGCAGGCCGTGCGGGCACCAGGCCCCACGAGGGAGGAGGGTCAGGGGCTTGTCGGGGACAGTGGCACCAGGTCTGGTGTCGAGAAAAGCCCTGCACCTGGGGACCCCAGACCTGAGTCAGCCCCAGCTGTGCTGCACCCCCAGGCCCCGGGCTGCATTAGTTGTCTGGAAGGGCCAGGAGGAGGGGGACCAGTCTCCCTGGGGCCTGGGGCCCGTAAATGACCGAGAGGCCACTGCCACTGTCACAGTTTTTGGGGTCCCTCCCTCCCAACTTCACATATCCCCTCGGCCTTTCTGGTCCCTGGAGGGAGTAGGGTCACCACAGCTGCACACAGGCGCCCCTCGGCATCCGGATGGAGCCACGAGGTGTGGACCCACCGCGGGCCCTGTGTCGGGGCAGCTGTCCTCCCACAAGGGGCCCCGGATGCCAGCGTGGGGTGGAGGAGTGGGCTTTCTGGGCTTCATCTCCCAAGAAGACAGAGGCCTGCAGACCAAGCCAACCCGGGGGCCCCACAGACAAGCCTCAGGAACCAGGCGCGGTGTGCCCCACGGAGCCCCATGCGGAGCTGTCGCCGGCCAAGCTCCTGACACTTGCTGACCCCACGTGGACGAGGTCAGGGCAGGGCGGGCGCGCAGGCGGCTAGGCTCTGCCTGCAGGGCCTTCCAGGCTTCTCATCGCCCTCTCTGCAGGAGGCTCTGGCCCTCTGGACTCCGGCCTGGGTGCAGGGCGGGCCTGACCAGACCTGCCCTCAAGGGGGCCCGAGGGGTGGCTTCCAGAACGCCAGCCACCCCTCGCGCGGCTGGACCCCCCTCCACCCGACCCTCCGAGCACGCCAGCACCGGAAACCCACGGGAGGGAGGCGTGTGTGATGGGGAGGGGGCCGTGGGGAGGGGGGAGGGTGAGGGCCACACGGCGTGTCCCCCGACGGGCCGACCACACTGCCTGCGTCTACCACAGGCAGTGGCGCGGTGTCGGGCCTGGGGAGGGGGAGGTGAGGCCACAACGGCTGTCCCCCAGGGCCACCACACTGCCTGCGTCTACACAGGCAGTGGCGCGGTGTCGGTCCAGACGCGCCCACGGCAGCACCTTGCCTGCCCGCCCCGCCTGGGCTCCAGGCCAGGGACCACCAACCGTGCGGCCTGCACCCAGTCTGTGCGAGGGCCTCAGCACTTAGCTTCCTCATTCACTTAAATGGCCTTCCTTCCACCTGAGGCATGTGAGCAAGCTGTTCTTGCGTCTGCAGACCTAGGCGCTGGGAGGGGTGGGGCTGAGGGACCTGGGAGGGAGTCGCGTGGGCACAGTGGTGGGGTAGGAACGGGGATGGGACTCTGGACCCCGGGCTGTGCCCGGCTCTCTGGGGCAGCAGCATTTCACCGGCAGGCCCTCGGGCAGGCACAGGGAAGCAGACGCCATGCCTCTCAGGGCCACCGAGCACCTGGCTGGCCTGGTGACGGGATGAGAGCAGAGGGCGGGGGAGGCGCGGGGTCCATCTGGGCCCCCGAGGCTTCAGACCTGGGTCTGGGCTGAGCTGCCCTGAGGCCTCACCCCCTCAGGCTCTGGATGGCCTGGGTGAGGGGGTCCTCGCAGCTCTCCCGCATGGCCCCCAACTCCTCCACAGCAAGTAAACACGTGAGCTGGGGGCACAGAGGTCTCTGGCACCGCTCTGGTCACCTGCGTCCTCCTGGAGGACGGGTCGTGGGGAACAGAGTCCACAGGGCCTGAGCCCCTTACCTGTCTGAACTCCTCCCAGGAGTTGGTCCAGGTCCAGAAGTGGGCCTTGTACTGGCCAAGGGTGACCGCCATCAACGTGTTGCCGCGGTAATAGAATATCGGCCTATCATGGGGACAGGAAGGGTGAGGTGAGCGAGGCTCCCACCTCTGAGTGAGGTCAGGGGTGAAGCTCTACAGACGCGACCGTGCTGAGACCACGCAGGGACTGCCAAGGCCCCCAGGCTGTGGGGGAGCCCACGGCCACCCTTCACCCTCAGCCCTGGGGAGGCCGGGTGAGGGTGGCGGTGCCTGGCCTGGCAGGTGGGCTGGGGGGGACCATGGTGGTGGGAACAAGCTCTCAGGCCAGACTTCAAGACAAGACAGACAGCGAGCCGTCCGTGCCCAGCCTACACCTGCTCCCACTCCTCTCTTTGCGTTTTAGAATTCACGTCCTTTCTCAGCAGCCTAGGAAACCCATTTTGTTTGAGCAAAACAGTAGCAGCTTGGGCTAGAGCAACTGACTCTGGACAGACTTCCAGCGCAGAGGTGGACAGGCTGGGCTGCTGAGGCCATGGACAGCTGGTGAGGGCCTGAGGCAGGGAGAGGGACACCGCAGGCAGGAACAGGCCCCTCCACCCCACTGTGTGGCTCATGCCAGAAAGTCCCCGGGTCCCACCCTCTCTGCCAGCCAGCTGGGGGAGGACACCTGCTTTGTTGGCCAGCTGGGCTTCATACCAGGTGCTGGGTGCGGGGCAGGACAAGGGCCTGGCCAGAACCTACCTGTCCATCAGCCGGCCCTGCAGCATGGCCGGGAGGAGGTCCAGGCCGTCGATGGCCCTGTCACTGGGTGGCTCCAGGCCTGCGACAGACAGGCTGGTGGTGAAGAGGTCCATGATGCTGCCCAGCTGGTGGCTCACCTGCAATGGACACGACCCAGATGCACTCAGGATGCCCACCCGGCGCAGACGTCGGCCAGGGCCACGTCCCCGGCACATGGCTTTCTGCTGCCAGGCAAGTCTGCAGTGGTGTGAGCATTACACACATGCGCGGCCACAGCCTGCAGTGTCCACGCACACAGGACACAGGAATTCCCTGCCCGAGAAACACGTGTGTGCACACACCTCACATGGAGAGTGGCCGAGGGGAGGTCAGGGGTCGAGTCGGGATTCAAAGTGGCCCGTCTGGCCCCAGGGCAGCTGAGGCCCTGTCCCACCCCGGTTCCCAAGCTCTCACTTCTGCCGTGGCTGCGAACGAACCAGACAGAAGGGAGGAGGTGACACAGCCCCCAGGGAGATGCCCGCAGGCCCTGCCTTGCAGGGCCGTCTGTGGCCGTCCCAAGTCAGGCACGAGTGCAGGAGGAGAAAAGACTGAGGCCCCGGAGCAGCACGCACAGCGCCGGGAGGAGGAGGGCCGCTGCCGGGAGGGCGGATGTGCCCAACCAAGCTGAACGGTCCAACTCCGCAGAGCCAGCCCCCACGCCCGCAGGTCCCCCTGGACGCACGCCCCTGCCCTGCGTGCTCAGAGAGCGCTGCCCGGGCTCCCAAAGTCTGGCTCGGGGCGTGGGCCAGGGCAGCGACAGGACCCAGGGAGCCCGCTGGCAGGTCTGGGGGGTGCCCACTGTCAGCCAGGACCTCGTCACCCCCAGCC